AAAACATAAAGACTTGCTGAACCGCTTAAAAACAATCCAAATCCCATATTCACGTTATTTCTGTAAGAATCAGGCTGCATTAGGGATGGAGGCTGAGTCTGAGTTTTCAGGAGAGTTCCAGCCGGTCGGGACGGAGTGGAAATTTCCACACGCCAGGATTTCACGTGTATACTTGCCGAGCAAAAGGACTTGAGCATCCGAAACTCTCCCGCAGACTCAAATGCACAGCTTTCTGAAACTCCCTGCTCGCCGCGGCCAATATTCAGCCTCCTCCAGCATTCAACCGGGTCAAATGATTCACTGAATTCTTCATGAACTGAGAAGCTGTAAATTACGCGTCTTTTCTTTGAAACATGCATTACTTTCCAGCGCCACAGCCAAGGCGAAGAAATGGGATGGAAGAGGCAGTTTTCTCCCTGGGAACGTGTTCTCCCCTCTCCTCCTGCTCCTCCGAGGGAGGCTGCAGTGAGGTTGGGGAAGGAGCCCACTTGGACGTCTTCTGGAGCGCGGACATGCAAAGTGCTACGGATGCGTGAACGTGTCAAAGCCCAGGTTTTAGGCAAACAGCTCGGGTCACATGTGGAACCACACAGCAAAAAGTACACACAGTGTGCGAGATCCGCTTTCACGGACACGCGGAGACTGGGAAAGGAAATGGCTTCGGCAGGCGTAGGACGCTTGCCCTTGTTGCTTTTCATCAGAAGTCATTCATGCTCTCGGTCAGCGCGTGCGTGTGCCGGGTACTTCCCTGCTCTGGAATTCACGGAGGCGCCTGCACTCCAGTGGGGGCAGAGCCTCGAGTGAGGGGGCGGCTCCGAGTGCGCCTGGGCTCAGCCGACTCAGGAAGCAGCCACCTCTGCCCCTCCTGGCTCTGGGCCAAGAGGCATTTCAAGCTCAAGGTCCGGGATGGCCGCTGATGGTGGAATGTGTATCTATACTGGCAGTAATTTATTTAAAAACCATCTTCTGGGAAATGCAAATAGAAGAGTGGTAAGGATGGGAACAGAGAGGTGGAGACAGCTTGTTCCTAGAAAACACAGGGACCAGCTTTAAGATGCATGCCTGTTAGACAATACATTGTGGTAGCTCTGTAGAGACCCGGATGATGGGACAAAATGATTCTGCTCGAACAGCATGGAAGTGGGGTCAGTGTCGTGGCACAGCAGGGAAAGCTGCTGCAACTGTGATGCCAGCATCCCATATGGACACCGATTTGAGTCCCTGCTGCTCCACTTTCAATCCCGCTCCCTGCCAGTGTGCCTGGGAAAGTAGCAGAAGACGGCCCAGTGCTTGGGCCCCTGCCACCCACATGGGAGACAGAGATGTTGTTCTAGGCTCATGGCTTCAGTCTGGCACGGCCTTTGGCTGTCGTGGCCATTTGGGGAGTGAACCAGTGGATGGAAAATCTCTCCCTTACTCTATCTGGCACTCCACCTTTCAAATAAATTAAATAAATCTTACTCCCCCCCCCCCCCAAAAAAAAAAAACTAGCATGGAACTTGGATAAGCCCTCTTTTCCCTTCGTCATGTGGGAAGTAAATCGGAAGATCTGAGGGGGCAGATGGCACCGCTGGGGGTCCAGGAAGCCTGGCACCTTGAAGCCGAATCTTTCCCCACACCTGTAAAACCCGTGTGCCTCGTCACCTGCAGTGTCCCTTGGTTCCTTCTTCCCTTCCCGATCTCTGGAGAGGCTCCCAACATCCCAGCACTGAATCCCTTCACCTGCAGAGCGAGCTCGGAGGCTGGCTGGGCTCACTCAGCTGTGTGCTAAGCAGCTGTGCCGGGCGTGGAGCCAAGAGCAGAACTGCATGGGGATAAAGCAGGGGTTTTGGGCAGCTGGGATCAGGCCTGCAGCCATGCCCTCGTGCGCCTGGGCGATGCGGGGGTGGGGGGCCTGGCACGTTGCACCCTCAGGCCTGCCCCCTGCAGGGCCTTGCTGCGGGCACAATGTCTCCTCACAGCTGCCGAGGCCCCACGGAGACACAGACAACAGCCTCTTTGGAGCCACACAACCGGCCAGCCAGGCTTGCCAAATTGGGGACAGGCTCTGACAGGGGACAATTTTATTTCAAGGGTCTAATGGGACCAAGGAGATAGAATGAAAAGTTTCAGCGTTAAAAAAAAAAATCCACAGAACATCTTCTTCCAGATAAACAAACCGTCCTTTGAACGGGAAAGCAGCCTCTTAACTGTATCAGGCCAGGGCAGGCTTGTGCAGGAGTCACGCCCCCTCCAGGGCCTTCCCTCCTCCATCCCAGGCCCAGGAGCCTTACCAAGAGATGACCCAAGAGCTCGTGGGGCATGGACCCTTCTGGAACACGGCGCTTACATTTGGAAAAGGTAGAAAATAGAACCCTCAACTGACCTCATTACCAGCTTTAAGCATTTGATGCACTTTGAACAATCTGAAGCATAATGGTTTTTTTCTCTCTTGCGGTCACAATTCGTCTGTCTAATAAGTGCAGGTTACCCTGTGTGCATGTGTGAAGAGTCTGCTGCAGGAATTATCTACAGGACGGCCAGGCCAACACAATCCGGATGAGCAGAAAACCCAGGGATTTCCCATCCTCTCTGAGGAGCTGTATTTATACAACAGGTTTTTGTATTTTTAGTTTTTTTTTTCGCTTTCCCTGATACCATTTGATTCTGATTTCCTTAGCAGCAAGATCGGGTCAGAATTTGAAACTATTATTTAGATTAAATGGAATGTACTCTAAAATATAAAATATGTCTTAACTGGGATGCAATACAAATAAAGATAATCTGAGAAGGCATTATTCCTCTTATAAGTGCTTCTATCCTCAAAATATACTTGTCACACAGTAAAAAACATACAGCCGTATTCATATCAAAGACAAAAGCTAGAGTTTTTGACATCAAAACTTTAAAAAAAAGGTCAAAGTCACTTTGAAAACACATCATTGAAATACTTCACAGAAAGGAACAGTGAGTAGAAAGCCTTGGGTCTGGACTGGGCCTATCTACTAACCAGCCGCATACCTACTAACTAGCTGCATACCTACTAGCTAATTATGTACCTACTAACTAGTTGTGTATCTACTAACTAGCTCCATACCTAACTGTACCTACTAACTAGCTGCATACCTACTAACTAGTTGTGTACCTATTAACTAGCTGTATACCTACTAGCTAATTATGTACCTACTAAGTAGGGGTGTACCTAACTAGTTGCATACCTACTAACTAGCTGCATACTTACTAACTAGTTGTTTACCTACTTACTAGTTGCATACCTACTGTGTACCTATTAACTAGCTGCATAGCTGCATACCTACTAACTAGCTGTGTACCTACTAACTAGTTGTATACACTAGATGAGACACTTTCTGTATCAGCTTTCTCAACTCAAATCATGAATTTGAAGACATGAAAGGGACACAGATCATCCAAAAATGTCCCATACTCACTTTTTTTTTTTTTTTTTTTTGGACAGGCAGAGTTAGATAGAGAGACAAAGAGAAGGGTCTTCCTTCCATTGGTTCACCCCCAAAATGGCCACTACAGCCGGCACGTTGCGCCAATCCGAAGCCAGGAGCCAGGTGCTTCTCCTGGTCTCCCATGCGGGTGCAGGGTCCAAGGACCTGGGCCATCCCCCACTGCCCTCCCAGGCCACAGCAGAGAGCTAGACTGGAAGAGGGGCAACTGGGACTAGAACCTGGCACCCCAACCGGGACTAGAACCGGGGGTACTGGTGCTGCAGGTGGAGGATTAGCCAAGTGAGCCACGGCACTGGCTGCCCCACACCTACTTTCATGACAGTGTTAGAAGACTGCCCGAGACGACAGTAGTGTGGGCTGTGCTGGGGCTGAGGCTGGGCACCCAGCAGCAGCGGGCATGGGGGCTGTGCTACTTCCCAGCCACTGGGGGCCATTGGCAGGGACCTTTCAGAACTTTCTCCTCTTCCTGCCTGTGCCCAAAGGCACAGCATGGGCCTGGGAGGACACAGCGGGCCCTGGCAGACCCAGAAACTTTGATTTCCTCCTTTTGAACATAGGGCTCTCAACTCTTTGCAGGCTTTTGTTACTGTAAGTCATACAGGGGTGGCAACCATACCTTTTATTCTGAGGTTAAAGAAGCACAACTCTGCCCTCCATTTCTGCTGACAACTTTGGTGCTTCTGTCATAATTACTGGGGTCAAGATGAAAAGCCCTTATGGAGCTGGGGGTCATACAACAAGGTCTAGAAAAGTTAGCAATCGGGGCTGGCACTGTGACATAGTAGGCTAAGCTTCTGCCTGCGGCACCAGTATTCCCTGTGGATGCCAGTTCAAATCCCGGGTACTCCTCTTTTGATCCAGCTCTCTGCTAAAGGCCTGGGAAAGCCGTGGAAGATGATCCAAGTGCTTGGACCCCTGCACTCACGTGGGAGACCTGGAAGAAACTCCTGGCTCCTGACTTCGGATCCGCCCAGCTCTGGTTGTTGCGGCCATTTAGGGAGCAAACCAGCATTTGGAAAACCTCTCTCTCTCTGTCTCTCTCTCTGTCTGTAACTCTACCTCTCAAATATATAATAGATAAATCTTTACCAAAGTGAGCAGGTATTGCCATGTGGCATGGTCCTGAGGTGCTGTGGTGCTGAGAATCCTGGGTCATCTCCCGCCCTTGTTGGAGGTGGGATTCCAGCACATCCCACATCCCCATGGCATCTCAGGGTCCTCAGCTGAAATGCCCCGCTTTCATGTGTTGCCATGGGAACTGAGTGGCGTGAGCGATGAGACAGGCGCCCCGCCACCCTCTCAGAGAAGTTCCCAAGCACCTGTGCTCCTCGTCACCACAGCGCTGCCCAGGACCCTGAGATCCGGGACTTAAATCTGACACTGAGAACCCTGGGCAAGGTACACTCAGGAAATCGCTTGAGAAACCGCTAGGATGTGGGGTCTTCTGGAAGCAGCTGTTCCCGCACAAGCTTCCGTGAAGGTGGCACGGACCCGGCCGCGAGGCGGGGGTGAGACTGCAGGCTGCAGTGGCTCACGACTCACCAGGTAGCGCTCCTCCTGCCTCATGCTGGGGGTTCGGATCATGTGATTCTGTTCTCCTCTCCAGTCTCCAAAGCGACGGAAAAAATAGTTGGATAAAAACCGGCTGACGGGGTCTCGGATGATGTTGATGTAGACGGGCTGGTCTCCTCCAAACCTAACAACCGCACACAGACAGGGAGCTCGTTACAAGCGTGCTTGTGGAGTGGCCTTCTGCTATTACCCAGCAGGTGGGGATGAACACCTGCTCCAGGCACCTGTTGAGGGTCTGGGAGGACTGTCCCATAAGGAGTGCTGAAGGACAGATGCTACCTGGTTGTCTCACTGGACAGTGGATACTGTGAGCATGGGGACCACGCTATATTGGGCTTTGTCTCTCCCACTGGCTGGTGCAGAACCCAGTGGTGTGCAGTTGGCCCTCAGTGAATTGGCTGGCCAATCCTGGCTGCCCAGGGGACGAGCTGGTACTTATTACCTTGTCATTCAGACAATCCCAGGAGGGTGTGGATTAACAAGAGCACTTGTTATCTACCTTGTTCCAAACACTTCTGTGTGGCCAGCTTACTGAAACTCCACCACAAAGCGTCATTACCCCCAGGTGTGCCAGGGGAAACTGAGGCAGGAGAGGAGTGAGAACTTGTGCCAGGGTATGAACCCGTGAGCTCTGGATCCAGAATCTGTGCTTTTAACCATGGAAAGAAAGCCCCAGACAAAAGTAATAAAGTCAGGGCTCTCGAGTAAAACAAAAATCAGTGTAATTATCCTCAAGTCATGGCAAGTGGTTCAGTTAAAAGTCAAACAAGTGGCTACATGTTCCATTGTCATTCCTTCCACAAAAGGATTTAGACAACTGCACTGAATGCTGGCTCAAGAGCCAGGCCTCCCCAAGACAAAATGATTGGCTTGGCTGACATTTTCTTAAGGAGCCCTCCCCCTTCTCTTTGAACTCTTTGAAAGCAGTGGCCCTGAATGGTCAGGGGAGAGAGACCCAGGCTCTCAGTAGAAATCAAACCCGGTGAGCTCCCGAAGGGCCCTGTGACCCTGTGACCTTCTGATGAGCAACCCTAGCATTCTGTCAGGGGTCAGAGAGAGGTCACAGGAGACAGACAGGAAGCACCCTGCTTATGGACAATGTCCCTGGGCACAGTGCAGAGCACACAGTAGGTGCTCAACAAGTGCTGACTGAGTGAAGAAATGGACGCTCTGAGCTGCTGTTTCTGCCACTGTCACTGGGCTCTGCTGTCAGGAGAGCAGACATCACAAGCTACAAACCATTTATTATGGATGAGGTCCATAATGTCCCTAGTTCATTTGGATTTGTTCAAAAAGATCTTTAGAGAGAAGAAGCCAATGGAACCGGAAGGACTGACTCCCCAGCCGCGGGACTGCAGGCACCGGGAAGCATGAATTATGTTCTGGACTTCTCAGGTATGGCTGCCTTGGAAAACCTGTGGGTCATGAGAAAGATTAGCCCCGTGGGAATCTGCTGGGCTCCTAGATGTACATAAGGTGACATTCATACAACTGAATGTACCACTAACTGTAGGCGCAGGCGTTTAACTGTGCCAGCTGCCATCTAACACACACACACACACACACACATTCTGGATTTAATATCTTCTTTTAATTAAACTGGATTTCATATTTATTGGCAATGTCTTACATTCTTACAACAAAAGCCATCATGCTAGGAACTAGGAAAACGAAGCATGCCTACCACAGATGAATCCAGTTTGACCCTCAAAAGTCGCATCTGCTTTTCTAAGCCTCAGCCGCACTCTCCATGTGAAAACAACTGTTATGCTCTGGAGCGGGGCCGCCCAGTCATCAGGACACAGTTCTCAGCCTGACCACTGCCAGCTTCCATCAGTGGCCACAGATGGGAAGACTGGCATGGCCTGCTCAGCATGGGTGCCGTGCTCTTCATGGTACCAGGATAATTCCCCCAAACAGATGTTTTAGATGGCATTAAGCATCAGATAATATCACAGCCTCTCTAACTATGAGAGGTGTCTGGTATCTATCCTCCCCTTTCCAAAAGCCAAGAGAAATAATAGTTTCAGGCTGCCAACCCAGATTCCTCGCAAAATGGCAAAGTCTGGGCAGCACTGTCCGTTCTACTAGAAGCCAGAACACCCCTGTGATGGCACCATATGTCCTGGTGCGGGAGAAGGGGAACACATTTCCCCACCCTCATTCCATCCTCCTCCATGATCAGTTTCTCTGAGTATTTTTAATCTCAGGCCATACTTACAAGGGTACAGGTCACTGTCACCTACACATGACTCCATTCCAGGGCTGACAATGGCTTGTCCCCCACCTGAACCCATGCAGCACAACACCAGGCCTTGTCACTGAAGCCCTCGAGATTCCACAACCTCTCTATGGATCCATCCTACTGATCATCCTGACCACTGAGGTGGCTTTGTTAGGCCCAGGCAATAGGCCTTGTCTTCCTTACGCATTCCCTTCTAGTTCACTCCTTAGACAGTAAGGATGCCGTTCTCATGGGCTCTGAAAACTGGGCCTTTTCAGCTTCATTTTAATTTTTTAAAGTTTTTTTTTTGTGTTCTTAAAAAATTCCTCTGGCTTTTGTGATAATTGATAGCTCTAATTTTGTCTTTACTGAGCTTTAAAAAAGCTGTGATGAAGACAGTTGCCCCTAGGTTCACTCTGTGCATACCCAAGCAAGTGGAAGAGTCAGGCCACATTTTGTTGCTTGCTTAACGCACCCTTCTGTGTCTTGGTCACCACAATGACTACTGCATATGTGGAGCTAAGTCATCCTAAACTACTTGGCACTGCCAACTTCTTTGTGACATAGGCCTAGTGTGTTCATAGGTCCTACTGTCAACTCTGTGATCATTCCCTGATTCTCCTTCTAGCTCATCATATTCTTTTCATTTTTATTTATTGTGAGAAAACGATCTTGCAAAATAGGATGTAATTCACTGAGAATATTCACTGAGTGGTTCTCATTTGGGGAGGCATTTCTAGATACCTCATTCTAAGCACTTTCTTCACATCTGCCTCACACTGCTACCTGAATCAACTTATCAACCCAGCAACAGGATCAGTCACTTCTTCAATGGCAACAGAGAGCAATAGGCTAAGACATTCAGGGATACACTCATCAAAATGCTAAAGGTAGTCTTCCTGTAGCAAAAGAATATTGCATATGGGCCAGACAGCAAACTCATTAGAATGAAAAGCGCCCTAAACAGCATTCTGGCCTCAGAATCAGCCGTTAAGGCATTCAGATCTGGATAAAAAGCCCATGAGAGCATTTCAGGCATGGAAAGCCAAGACACTGTGGCAAAAAATGACCTACATGAAAAATCTCTGTGAGTGAGATCCCAGTGGAGAGAAGGGACCATCATAGAAGAAGGTACCCTTACTCTGAAGGGAGGAGAGAACTTCAACTTTGATTATGGCCTTGTCTAAATAAGGTCGGAGTTTGTGGACTTAAAAGGCTTCCATAGTCTTGGCAGCTCATGACAAGAGCCTCGGGTGATCACTGGTGTCATAAAAAAGAGTGTCAATTGTTAAATCAACAACAGGAGTCACTGAGCACCTGCTCCCCATGTAGGATCTTTGTCTTTAATGAGTTGTACTATGAGAATTAATGGTAACACTTGTCTTCAAACAGTACTTTATACTTTGTGCATCTGTGTGGGTGCAAACTGTTTAAATCTTTACTTGGTATAGAGTTGATCTTCTGTATTTAAGAAAATTAAAAATTAAAACTCTGTCCTCAGTTAAACAAAATTCTTCTCCTTCTAAAGTCCTGGTTTGGAGGTGGGGGCTATGTCTGTGCTGCTGCCTACAGTAGAAGACAGTGCAGACTGTAGACCCCAGGCTTGGATCTTTGCCAGGGAGGGAAGGGGTAACTAAGGGCAGGAAGCAACCTGGTGGCAAAGGATGTGGCAGGGCAGGGTGAGGGCTGCAGAGGCAGAAGGGGAGAGGCAGCTGGTCATTGCTTCTTGGCTGGAAGCCGACTGCAGGTACAAGATTCCTTGGCAGTTACTGAACCTCAGCTGGGGGCTGGGCGTGCCCTCCATCTGCAGATCCCATGCAGCGGGCACTGCAGTGTCTGCTGCCCAGGACAGGACCCTATTAGAAAGCAAAGGCAGGAGAAACTGAACCATGCTCTGTCCTCTGGCGAGTCCAAGAGAAGAGATGGGGAAGTGTCCCTGTGAGAAGCTGAGACAAAGGGGCCATGGGGACAGCTGGGGCACTGGAGCCGGGGTTCCTGCTTAGAGAGGAAGATACACAGGTGGTGATGAACAGCAGGGAACCATCAGGAAGTGAGGGGAGTGGGGGCAAGTCCACTTCTTGCCCTCCGCAGGCCCAGGAGTCACTGGAGAGAAGTCAGAGATGGGATGAAGAGAGCTTCAGGGCTGGAGGACGGGTCTTGCCGCAGTCAAGCCAGATAAACGGGGGAGGACTCAGGATAAAATGGAACATGTGGGCTGTCTGAACAAGTGGAGGCAGAACTAGCTGCTCATATCAATCTCTGTGTTGGGGTTCTCTTCCAGGTTGGAGGCTTTTGTTATCAGAAGACTTGAAAGACATGAAGGGTACATAACTAAAGTGGACCACACTGCTAATGGGTATAAAAAGCAAAGGCAACATCTAGGAACAAGATGTGGAAACCAAGCTGGATTATGCAAATAGCTGGATCTGCTTTGTTTTGTTAGATGGTGCCATCAGAGGGCAGGCTCTGTTCACGAAATCTGATATGGAAAACATGGTTCACGTCAATTGAAGGGAAGAGAGAAAATGTCCAAAATATCCCTCTATCCCTACACATCACACCCCACCTGCTTCTCTGGTGGCTGATTGATTTTTAATTTTTTTGTTTTTGCCATTAGTTGGTGTTGGTATTGGAGCCATCCTCTGAGATGAGGACACGGAAATGAAAGTAAAGGAAGCTGAGGGTGAGAAAGGAAGAAGGACATGAAGGCAAGGCCGGGAGAAGAGGGCATCTGAAAGGATTTGGCAAACTGACAGCTCTTCTAATCCCCTTGCACTGTTTTGATAGCAATGGGCTTTGCTACAAGACTCCCTAAGGTCTTCCCTGCAACCATCCAATTGGGGCTCGGGATTTTAGATTGAATAAAAGGATCCTCCCACCCAAAGCTTAGAAAACAGTAAGTGGGGGCCGGCACTGTAGTGTAGTAGGTTGAACAGCCACCTGCAGCACCAGCATCCCTTATGGATTCTGGTTCAGGTTCCGGCTGCTCCTTTTCCGATCTAGCTCCCTGCTGATGGCCTGGGAGAGCAGTAGAAGATGGCCCAAGTGCCTGGGGCCCTGCACCCATGTGGCAGTCCCAGAGGAAGCTCCTGACTCCTGGCTTTGGATTGGCCCAGTTCCAGCCATTGTGGCCATTTGGGGAGTGAACCAGCGAATGGAAGACCTCTCTATCTCTCCCTCTTTCTGCAACTCTGCCTCTCAAGTAAATAAATAAATATATTTTTAAATGAACACAGTAAGTAGAGGCCACGGAAAGACAAATTCAATTGTATCTCTCACAGTGTGTGGATCTAAGACACATGTGGAGGCATACTGTGAAGGCGGGGAAGTGGAAATTTTGAAAATTCTAACTTAAAGGTACTCCAGCAAGTGTGAAGAGGCACACAAACGCACAATGCACAAACGCCAAACATCCTAATGGAACATCATCATCCGGAGTAGTATCTTGTAGGCTCCCATGGTTCTGACTCAATTCTCCAGGTGGTCCAAAGGGAAACACTTGTCTGGCCTGGATTTCCAGGGAATTCCAAGAACAGCTGCAAGAGCCCAGTGCGAATTCCACAAATGCAAACTGAAGCCTGAAGTCTCTGCTGAGCTGGCTGGGGCCTGGTGCTCTGGGAGGAGACCTCCCCAGGGAGCCGCAACACCTGCTTGGCATCACCTTACTGCTTCCCAGAGCTGGATCAACAAAACTGGAAATGGCCAAATTATTCCTTCTGGATAGTGTTATACATCAGCTGTGGAATCACCAAAAACTCATGGAGAATAGTTTTCACCACTCAGAGTGTCTACATTCCATGGTAAAAATACTAGATCTAATGGGAACAAAGAAATTAAGGGCAATTTGTTTGGATATCATCCCACAGCCTTTGAAAGTTCAGCTTGTTCTATGTGCATAAAGGGATTATGGAGAAACAAGCTGGTCTTCTTCTTTAGTTGTTGTTGTTAAGATTTATTTATTTGAAAGGCAAAGTGTGTGTGTGGTCGGAGAGAGAGATAGAGAGAGAATGAGATCTTCTGTCTGCTGGTTCACTCCTCAAAAGGCTGCAATGGCCTTAGGCTGGATCAGACCAAAGTCAAGAGCCAGGAACTCCATCCTGGTCTTCCACATGGCTGGTGTGGGCCCAAGTGCTGGGGCCATCATCATCCGCTGCTTTCCCAGGTGCATTAGCAGGGAGCTGGATAGGAAGCAGAGCAGCTGAGACTCAAACCAGACTCAATCCAATATGGGTGCCAGCGTTGCAAGAGGCAGCTTAACCCGCCGCACCACTGGCCTTTCATTCTTACAGTCTGCTCAGCAGCAGGTGTCTTGCTGCTTGTTAGCCACACTTGGAAGATCAGAAAGATCAACAAAGAAGAGGAGGCTGTAGCACCCACCTCGTGATAACCCCCCTGCTGTGGGACAAGCACCCTCCTCGTCAGGAATTACAGGGAAGTAATTTCAGGGTTGCTCCTCACCTAGGAACACATGGGGCTAACCACACTCAGGAGCCCAACAGCGGGCTCAGAGCGAGGCATCCCCACAAATGCCTGCTCACATGTCACTCTGAGTTTCTACAACACCACCCTTCTCTCACAGAGCCTCCCTGACAAGGTAGCAGTGGGCAGGATTTGCCTTTTGCTTTACAGATGGGAAAATGGAATCCACCCCAGCTCCCGCCTCCAGAGAAGCTGAGAGACTTGCCCAGAACCACGGTCCTGACAGCCAGGACAACACTGTTTTCACAGCCGTGGTGTCTTCCAAAAGGCATTCATCAACTTATTTGTTTGAAAGTGAAAGCAATCAAGATTAAACTCTTGCACATGAACTTGATGGCAGAGGCCACCACGCTGTGTCCCAATGATCCAATTAAGATATCGCCTTGGGCTTCTCATTAGAGTTTTGCGCTGTCCTGAGATAATTATTAAAATTTGTTGCATTGCAGCTTGTTTGGTTGTGATGAGTTGACCTTGGAAGCAAGACGAGTTAATGAGTGAGGGCTAAGGATGTCGGGGTGAAGCAGAAGGAAGCACCCGAGAACACGAGGCTCAGAAGCTCTGTCATAAAACACAATCCTGAAGTCGCTAAGTCCCCCTTGTCTGAGTACATCACATATGTTCGTTCTTAGTCTCCGGCGAGGCATACATCCTGGCCCATCCAGTAAGCAGCCACTATAAGCCTAGCTGGAAACACACTTGAAGCTGCCCAGCACCTGGGCTCGGCCCTGTGGATAACTTGCAGTTGTCCTTGTCACCTCCCGGGGCACCTGCACGCTGGTTATCAAGCAGGAAGGGAGAACTTCAGGGGCAGCTCACTTTGAAAGATACGGCAGTAGCTCCTCTTCTCTGCTTGCTCACCTGCTTTGCTGAATCTCATTCTCTGAACAGTTCATTTGCACAGGGCCTATTCCACAGTGGGGAAGTCCTCAGAAGGCTAAAATCTGTTCCCAGGCAGGTGGGCTGTCAGGACAGAGTCCCGGCTTCCCCCCTGAGCCAGCCTCCCTGGGGCCTGGCTCTCAGCAGCCACTAAGCACCAACTGGAGGAGTCTTCTGGCTCAGGGCTGGGTGCTCTGGTGCTCCCATGTGGACCTGTAAACCCCATGTTAAAATGAGGGACATAGCCCTAGCCTGACCAGGGAGACTGGGGGTTTCCTGGAGGGTCAGCAGATCTGTCCCCAGGACCGGCGATCTGTCAGCCAATAGACACCAACTATGAGAGCAGTGAGGGCCAGATGTGGGGCTTCCAACTTTACAAATATGTACAATAAAATGTTTATGTTAAAATGCCCTCTCTTACCTTCTTATTTGTTTCCATTCAAAAACTGATTTTTTTTAAAAAAAGAACTGTCAAATAAAATGGCTTCTCAGTAAAAATAATTCCAAGTTTTGCTAAGATTGAAGATTCTAGGAAGTAAGGAAGCTTTCTCACCGAGTATTTCTAATTTTGAGCCCTCTTCAGCAAAAATGAATGGATTAAAATGGTCTTTTCAAGGGCAATTGTGCTACCTTGCAAATAAAGGTGGCTTGCAGAAGTTAATTGTTCACTAGGAGGAATCCAAGGACTAGACAGAAACAGAAGAGCCATTAAACTGGGAAATCTTACCTTGAGAAGTTGAGGAAATGAACGTGTCGAGTGAATAAATAGGGTTGTTCGGCAGTACTTATATTTTTAATCAGTTCCATCTATTAAAAAAAAAGTACAAAATTAGCATATATAGGATCTAATTTCCCAGACCATATTAAGCTAAAGGTTACCCATCCAACTCCTTCCCCTTCCGCACCCCTCTCATTGCTCCTGGACCAGGACCAAACAGCTGTGCTTCATGCAACATTTATGGCCTTCACATAAGGGTCCTTAGTGAATAAAATAGCACTATCCAAACTTAGAGCGCCGTATCTAATTTAGTTGATTGGAACCATGAAACAATGTGACAGATTAAGTAATTTCAACAGGGGAAGTCAGTGTGTTGCCATACCGAAACGCAAGTAAGACAATGTCTTCCTACACTCTTGAAAGTTTAAATCACAAAACAAAGTCTTTATTTTGTATTTCCATAATGATAGCATTGGGATATACAGAAATATTTGAAACCAGTGTGGCAGAATTTAAAAGTTGGAATAAAATGAGACATAACCTCATTATTTTTCTCTTTTGATTATAAAACTTTGTCAGGACAATATTTCATGAGAAAGCCAACTTCTGAATTCTTGAAGTTTTGGTGGGTTGTCATCTGGATTATTTATTTGCAGTTATCAGCAAGGCATAAAGCAGTTTATGTTCATATAAACTAACTTTTATGTCTTCTAGAACATGACATGATACAGAAAATGTTTAGGAAAAATCCATTAGAAATTCCAAGCATTCTCAGGACTCCCCGCCTTCCTGAATTTCACTTTCCCCAAGTTTTCTAATTGGCCCATCAACATGGATGCACTGCAGAATTTCAACACACACACACACACACTCACACACACACAAACACACATACTGAATGTTGCTTCTTTTGATGAACGTCCGAAGGGAAGCATTTCACATTTTCTGAAATAGCTCAAGTTGAAAACTAGAAACAAAAGCAGTCATTCACATGTTAACCACAGTAGCAACAGCACATGGAGTCTGGATTTCTAGGTTTGTCCCACACACACGACAGACATCCTGGGCCTGCCTTGCTCCCTGGTGTCTCACCTGGGGGCTGAACAGGCTCAGTACATATTTGTTCAAGGAATTAACTGTGACTAGTGCATACTTCAGAGAGTACAGATTTATAGCCCAGGAGCTTGGTGTCTAAACCTTTTAATTAGATATTTCACAATGGTTGTTTGAAGAAATGAAATTGAATTTTAAAAGTAGATGGCTTGCAGTTCATAAACCTGGGGCTTCTGGTAGGCCGTGGCAGGCACGGGTGAACAATGGTGTGGCTGTACCCAGGCTTGCGCATAAAAGGAAATTGGATCCTGCGTCTTTCCTGTTTATCCTTTACGCACCCCTTGTAGGTGCTGGTTTGGAGCTGCAAAGCTTTGTGCTTGGCCACATTGTTAATTGTGATTTTTGATGGGTGTACCAACAGAATTATTGATTGGGAAGTGTAACCATTTGTTATATCTCTGGGAACAAATGCTTAGAAAAACCAAACTTGACTGTGATATGTCCATACAATATATAAAATAGATCACACCGCCTTGGCCTGTGAACTATTTTAATGCAGATGTTTCTCTGCACACAGAAGAAGTCAGGCAAGGAAGCCCCCGGAGAATTGCCCAAGAAAACTAGAAGAAGAGGTCAGAGGAAAAAAATGCTCTCCCCTCTGCATAGTCAGTATTACATTACATTCTCTAAACACACGTCAACGTGTTAAACTTAATGGAAGAACAGTAGTGGTTAGATTTTGAGAACAGTGTCATAATAGTCATAAAGCTGTCTCTTTCCCAGGGAAAAATAGAACAGCGGTGACAATGCGTAACTCTTTCTAGACGTATCTTTCGACAGAATAAAGGTGCTAATGCTCATGTTTATTGCATTAGTGCAGTGAAGGCAGAGAGTACGTGTCGGCTCTTACACAAGTTGTCACTGCCCACACGGTCGTGTCACTTGGGATGTACGCTAGGCATAGGCATCATGTTCCAGGTGTTGTTCGATCTACATGATCATGCAGACCTCCCCCACTGGTAGTGATAAGTAAGGGGCTCCTGAACTGCTGCTCCCCACCACCTGGGTCCCCCACCTGGTCTTCCCACTGTCGCCAGCAGCTACCTCGTCCCTCACTTTCCTGTATTTCCATGGGGGGTTTCACGACAGCGATGGCACCACCTACCATCACCACCACATCCTCTTCTCCGTTCCCTGGCACCTACAGGACACTCCTGGCCTTTATTCTGCTATGGGTGCAGAGACCTCCACACCAACCACTCAGGAGGCACAGCAGTGAAAACCTGCACCAGGTGAGTGGAGAGACACACGCAGAAGACAACGCCAAGCATCCTACTGGCGCCTCCAAACCTCTATGGGGAGAACTGGATCCTCACCCATCTGCACTCAGGCTGCCCAGGATGCACAGCACTCCCCACAGTCCCGCCTCGGGTCCAGGTTTTTCCTGCACTCCTATTTCCAATCACTGGCTGAGTCTCTCAGCTGGCTCTCAGGCTGCCGTGGCCAGAAAACTACGGCTCTCCTTGCTCCTTCCTCAAACCAAAGTTCAAGCTCCTGCTTCTGTTACTGGAACGTCCTTCCACTATTCTCTGCAAGTGCAAATCCTAACCTCTGTTTCCATTGGCTAAGCTGCCTGACTTCCAAGTAGCCTTCCTGGATCTCCTCTTTCATTCGGCATCCATTGATCTCCAATCCTGGTCCAGGCAGTATACTGCTCAGGGCTGCGGCAACAGAGAGAAACAGATTTGGTTCTTGCTCTCAGAAACTGAGGTCTTGAGGCTAGTAGGCAGCTACAAACATTTGATAACTGCGGGAGACAGAAGACAGATGGGTGAGGCATCCTTGCCTGGAGAGGGGCATCCCCTCAAGGAGATAGTCCTGAGTGTTCTGGAAGGGCCCACAGGTGTTAGCCAGCAAAGGGACTCATGGCATTGCAGAGAGGGAATGGCAGATGCACTGGACAAACCATACAATGACACAGATATTAAGAAATGGCAAGGGCTGGCATTGTGGTGCTGCCTGTGAAACTGGCATCCTATGTGGGCACCGGTTCCTGTCCTGGCTGCTCCACTTCTGATGCAGCTCCCTGCTAATGGCCTTGGAGGAGCAGCCGAAGATGGCCCAAGACTATCTCCTTGGGGGGATGCCCCTCTCCAGGCAAGTGGCTGAGCCCCTGCCACCCACGTAGGAGACCCAGATGAAGCTCCTGGCCTGGTCCTGGCCCAGTCCCAGCTGTTGCGGCCATTTGGGGAGAGAACCAGCAGATGGAACATCTCTCTGTTCCTTCCTCTCACTCTGTGTGACTCTGCCTTTCAAATCAATCAACCTTTAAAAAAATAAATAAATCGGCCAGCGCCATGGCTCACGAGGCTAATCCTCCGCCTTGCGGCGCCGGCACACTGGTTCTAGTCCCGGTCGGGGCGCCAGATTCTTTCCCGGTTGCCCTTCTTCCAGGCCAGCTCTCTGCTGTGGCCAGGGAGTGCAGTGGAGGAAGGCCTAAGTCCTTGGGCCCTGCACCCCATGGGAGACCAGGAGAAGCACCTGGCTCCTGCCATCGGATCAGCGCGGTGTGCCGGCCACGGCGGCCATTGGAGGGTGAACCAATGGCAAAGGAAGACCTTTCTCTCTGTCTCTCTCTCTCACTGTCCACTCTGCCTGTCAGAAAAAAAAAAATAAATCTTTAAAAAAAAAAAAAAAAGAAATGCAAATTCTCAGGCCCTTCCACAGACCTATGGGAGCAGAAGGAACTCTGCAGTGCGGCCCGGCAGTCTGTGCTGCGAGATGAATGGCAGGAGCTGCTGCGGCACAACGGCCTGAGAAGCACCCAACAAAGCCAATAGAAGGGAAAAGCTTCATGGAGGGTGCGGAGGGGGAACCAGCCGAGCCCCATGACGCCCAGCAGGAGAAGGCTAGGAGAGACGGGGTTCATGAGAGCTTCCTCCTCTGGTTCCTAGATAGGATCCCACACCTGTGGTCGCGTCCATTTGTGGCAAGATGACCTTGATTTTGCACATCATTGCACCCAGGTGTCACAGCTTCTCTGAGCTTTGCAGCCCGTGCTATGAGGACTTTTCAGGTGATGCCTTTTCCACCTCAGCTGTGGCCGAGTTCGTGTGCTGGCTCTGAACAGGTGTGGCTACCTTTGAACCCTGAGGGTTGGGGCTTAACGAGTACTTAACGAGTACAAATTGCAGTCTAGCAACCTGAGGGATGCCCCATAAATGTTTATGGGATGAAGTTTCCAATCACTGAGGCCTCTCTGGGACAGTGCATTGTCCTGGTCTCACACAGAGCTAGCAGGCACCTCACGACAATGCCCAGAACACAGCCACACCAACAACACCCCATCATCTCCCGAGTGCATCCTGGGGGTGCCATGCTGTCCCCAGGAGCTCTCTGCACACACGCTGATCCTCTGCCCTGACAAGGACCCCACGAGGAGAACGTCACCATTCATACTTCCCAGGTTAGGAAACCAAGACTGAGGAAAGCCCCGTGGATTGCTGGCCGTCTCCCCAGAGCCAGGATTCAAATCAAAGTCTATTAAATCCCTGAACCCTGTTCTTCACGCTAGAGCAGCCAAGTGCTCACCGTGCCCACTGTTACTTGGTCTTGGCGCGGGAGGAAGGCATGGGTTTGCACAGTAATGCTGGAGAGTAAGGAAAGTTTATGGGATATAAATTTTCTCCCTTTCGTGTGATGTACTGCAAAACTGAACATGCACAAAAGCATCAACAAACAGTAAAAACAAAAAAACATTAAAACACCCGAGGAAACTTTGTTAAAGTCCTCAGTAGGAAAACAGATTGTTTCCTAAAAGAACTGGAATTAATTTGAAATACTTAAAAAATGTAGTAGGTACTGAAAGACTAACAGAATGGAAGGTAGACCTGTGAGGTGATGTGTCTGTAGGAGGAAGTTTTATGGTGCATCTGAGAGCGCGATGGAATTGAGGTTACAAAAGAAAAAAAGGCAAGAATCAACCCGAAGTGCTCATGCGGAGGTAAGGCAGGAAGTGGCTTCTCTGCACTCTCGA